CGCTCGCCTTTGTTTGGCATCATCAGTGGTTTCCCCCATCAAACGTGGGTCCATTTCTTTTTTGGGGGAAACTGAACCCTAACACAGGCCGTCACAGAGGGGTTCCGCTTTCTTTAAAAATGCGTCAAATGAGAACGTTGCTTAAATAAATCGGGGGTGTTTTGTGAAAAGGAAATTATAGCATAGTTATAACACAGCGGGGAAGTCACGGAGGAGGAACGAGAGCCCTCAACTGCCCCGGTGGGGCCGCTGGGCTGGGACCCCGGAGGAGGCCGCTGGGTGAGGCGTGAGCTGCAGACGGAGCCTCCGTCTCAGTCTTTGCTTCTGAAAGCAGGTGCGCCATGTTCATACAGAGCGGACACACAGCATGTGGTCCCGGGTCACCCGGGCGCATGGCATGTGGGGCAAAGGGGGTGGTGGAGACAACAGGAGACTCACTTTTCCATTTTGTATGCTTTGTGCCACCTAAATGCTTATAATGGGCATGTCCGATATTTATAATAAAAGATGCACTGATATTCAAATGAGGCCGCGAGACAGAGCGGAGGGAAAGGGCGAGCGGTCAGGTCTGGGCCTCACCTCCACACCCGTGCGACCCTGGACCGCCCCTCCCGCTGGTGGAGCAGGGGGCCGACCCCGCCAGGCCCTCCGGCGTCCAGGCCTGGGTCTCGCACACCAGCCTTCCCTGAGCTGGGGATCAGCTTGAGCCCTGGAATGCGTCTTCCTGCACACGGAGGGCAGGGCAGGGCCCCCTCCCCGGGGGAATGAGCCCGGAAATGCTCTTCCCCGGCAGGTGGGGGGGGGTGGAGCTAACCAACACCAAGTGTGACAGGGAGCCGTGTCCACTGTGTGCACGAAGCCCTGCCACAGGGCTCCAGCGGCGAGAATGCAGGGCGCCCAGGAGACGGTCCCCTCAAACAGCAGGTCTGGCTGAATATTCCCCTAGGAATTCCTCCCCATCCCCACTCAGGCCAACACTCCCCGTTCACACCACCCCTTGTTCACTGCCCACCCACGTCCACACTGTGCCTCCGTCCACACCGCCCCTTTGTCCACACTGCCCCCCTGTTCACCACCACCCCAGTCCACACCACCCCCCATCCACACACCCCCTGTCTGTCCACACCGCCCCTCTGTACACACACACACACACATACATCCATCCATGCTGCCGTGCAACACCACCCCCCACACACACACACACCGCCCGTCTGTCCTACCTCAATGGGCTGCCACTCGCCCAGCACGAACACATGCAGCATGTTCACGTCCGGGTCCTTCTGGAAGATGTTGGGCTTGGCGTGATGCTGGAAGTGGCGATGGTTCCACCAGTTGGCGGAGGCACCCTGTGGGGGGAGGTGGAGTGAGGGGTGCAGTCGGCCCGGAGGGCTGAGCTCGCTGGCGACGGGCCCTGCTCACGACCAGCTCCTGGGACCCGGCACCTCAGGTTCCAATACGGCTCAGCCCAGTCCTGATCTTTATTTAAAAAAATGTTGGCATTTTGAGCCCTGGCGGGGTCACTCAGGTGGTCAGAGGGTCGTCCCCACATGCCAAGGTTGCAGGTTCGATCCCCAGACAGGGCACGTACAAAACCAATGAATGCAGAAATAAGTAGAACAAATCTCTCTCTCTCTCTCACTCTCTATCAATACATTAAAAAAAATTTTAAGTTGATATTTTGTTCATTGTGAATTTTTTTTTTGCTTTTTCCAGAAAAGATTGCATTAAAACCTTATCTCGATTACGGAGTATTTTGGGGTTCCCTTAAACTTTGCACGCTAGCAGAAGCCTCCCTCACTAGCCTCACGCTAGTCCTGGCCCCGCTGGCCGGAGACGAGACTGTGCAAGGCGGGCAGGCCCCCGGCGGCCAGCCCCAGGAGCAGCCGGATGGCCAGGCCCT